TATTGAAGCAATCCTGGTATAAAAGGAAAACTTGAAGAAAAGAATGGACAAAAATTGTCCATCACTGTTGGGTCCAATGATTACTTCTGATAGAGACAACACCACCTTCTCATTCAGCCTTATGAAACAGCCTCTCTCCTGTGGTCTGAAGGCCCCTAACTCTCCTGTCCTTCTAGATGTCTATGATGACATCTTAAAGCTTCCCTCTTTAAGATCTTGGATCAAAATAATATATGAACACAATAGAGTGATTGTGTGATTGAATTTGTTACACAGTCCTTAAGTTATTGTAGTATGATTATATTAATTACATTAATTATATTTATTCTGTTGGATTTATAGAAGTGATATTATATGTTTTTGTTATTTAGTCTTAACCTCCCAGAGTTCATATGTAAGATGGATGGCGTTATGAATTTTATACATACATACATACATACATACAACATACATACACCATTACATGGTTGCAGCAACAAGCTACTCACATTGAAGTGTTAACTAGCCAGGGTGGATATGGATTTAAATGACAGATAACCAGTTTAGTAGTCTTAAGCTCCTGTCCACTTCTTCAGGAATTACAAAGTCAAATGTCTTTCAAATACCAGGGCAAAATGGTGCCTCGGTCAGCTCACAGGGACTCTCTCAGTTGGAATTGAACTCAGGGTACATGTAAATGATACTTTCCTCATAAAATAATGTATCTAGTAGTACTATTTTCCCCCCAGAGTAATAGCTTATAAGGGTGGGATTATTCTGCCAGAGGGTAAGACTTTGTTGTTGGCCTGAGAGGTGAACAAACCTGCTGTGTGTCCCGTTCTCAAGCTGAGCCAGTCTGTGTGAAGTTGTAAATCCAGCAAACAGAGACACAATCATAAATAAGTCCGAGTTCAAAGGAAATCAAGTTCACAGGGCAAAGCAGTACTTAACGGCCTGAGTCAATTCAGGATTAAAGTTTCCAAGAAAGCGCAGCAGGTATGTAGCATAGGGCATGACATGCATGGTTGGCTGATATTGAAAGAGCTAGATTACAAGGCGTTGTAAGCCACTGCATGCAGGCAAGACAATCCAAGAAGATAATCAGTGTTACTGCTACTGAAAGAAGGGACAGGCAGAAATTGGGTCTCCTGCTACAACAGAGGGGCAGAGGGCAGCAGAGGCACAAAAGTGTTATGGCATAGTAGTTCTCAGTGACACATCAATCACTGGAATCCTTTTGTTAGCTGATCATCAACAACAACAGCAGCAACAATAATAGTATCTGTTAGAAGCTCTTGAATTGTTGAGAGTTAGGGTTAGTTCTAGCTGAGACTTGCTAGTTGAAATCCGCTAGTGACTCAGCTCATCTGACATGGATCAGTCCAAGCTGCTACCAGATGTCACCAGTTGTGCCAAACTCTGAGGATACTCTCGGCAGCTGGGTACTCTGCCTCTACTTTCTACCTCTTCACACAGAAATGGCAGCCTTCTATTCGTTAGGTGGGATACGATTCTTTTTGAAGAATGACAAAGATGATGTCGGTAATAGCAAATCCTAAAAACTTGTTTCTAGCGTTGTTAGGGTTGGGACTGTCTGTATGTAATTTCTGGTTTTGATACTCTTCTATCTTCTAAGGATGAGTCAAATCAGGAGCATGATGTATTTCTTGCAGCTGTGGCTGTTAAGATTTATTCAAAAAAAAAAATATTATCAAGATATAATATACATCTCTTCCAGTAACAAGACACCTTTGTTGATTTTGTCAAGATTACTCAGTCTTGACTTAGTGGATTATTGAGATTTGTTTTACGTATATTTAATAATAATTTAGAAGGCCAGATCCTGAAGATGAAACTCAAATATTTTGGCCACTTAATGAGAAGGAAGAACTCACTGGAGAAGAGCTTAATGCTGGGAAAGATTGAGGGCGGCGATAGAAGAAGGGAACGGCAGAGAATGAGGTGGCTGGATGGAGTCACTGAAGCAGTAGGCGTGAGCTTAGATGGACTCCAGAAGATGGTAGAGGACAGGAAGGCCTGGAGGAACATTTTCCATGGGGTCACGATGGGTCAGACACAACTTCGCAACTAACAACAACAAAATGTTTAATAGGAGGGCTGACCGTATGACTAACAGGATCTGCATGTTGAGTGCTTCTGTTCACTACTCTTGTCATTCAACTGTATGCTGTTTTATGCACAATTTTTGATCCCCATCCTGAATCAGTCAACTGGCTTAGTCCTAAGTGGCTGTTTAAGACTTCTGTCCTATTTAATCATTTCCAAAATACCTTTTTGTTGTGATTGGAAGGATCGGTCCTGTTAGGAGTTTTGAATCTGATGACTGTTAGATTGTGGATTGACGTCAGAACCAGGAAACGTTAATCTGAAGGGCAAGCCAGTTAATTAGCACGTTGCCTTAATGGGTATAAAAGGACACAGCTGAGCTGGTGCCTTTTGCCAGAAACAAAATGTCTATTTTGAATGAGGATGTTACTGCAAAGAGATCTCTGTTTGTTTGAATTTTGAAGGGGAGTCCTAACAGTTTCTGCCAGCAGTTATCTTGTTTTTTCCTACAGTTTGATTTGATTGTGAAACGGCTGCTTTGAGTTTGTTCGTTTGAATTTCCAAGAGGAGACATAACACCTTTTAATGCAGCAACGCTCTAAAGTATACTGTCCCCTTGCTCCATTTTTAAACTTTAAACTAACCCACACTCCCAGCAAGCTTTTTGCTTTTAAATCCTTATAATTATTTTCTTTTTCTTTACCATAATCCTTCCTATGGATTCAAAGTACACTTAACCAGGTGGCTTGAAGGTCTCTTTTCACTTTAAATTCTCTTGTCCAAATGTGCTTCAGAAAGTGGATTGGGTGAATCCAGTATCCTTGAAACAGCTTCACCTGAGGCTATGAGCTTGTTATACCCTTCCACAGTTCCAGGCATTATACTCGAAAGTCACCAACAATTCCTTCCTGATCCTGCAGGCTTCTCCCTTCCCAGGTCCTCCAGAGCTTAAGTGTGCAATCTCACTAAAGGGGACAGTTTAATTTGAAGCATTGCTATGTTAATAAAATATTTTTTGAAATAATTGATTAAATAAAACATACTTCTGAAAAAAAGGTTGGGTCACTTATTTTTTCGGATTCTTATTCTTTACCTTTATGTTTCTGTTTTACTTTTGCACTTTGCTGTTTCTAGTTCTTTTTCTTTATATGTCTGCTTTATTTATGTAAAATTCTCAAAAAAATTGTAGATGTATACACACACACACACACACACACACCGTTTTTAAAGGGAAGAAATTCCATCCGAATCCAAAGTACGTATAAATTATAAATAAAAACCAACACAAACCATGCTGCAGCAATTAACGAGACAGGGCAGGATAAGGAATTGAAGACTTCAGAAGATAACAAAACACACACAGTTGGGAGGATGCCAGAACTCAAATAAAGACTTGACAAACCAAAATAATTCACGCTTTTCTTCTAGCAAGGAGCTGTGCACAAACATCCTGTTTATCCTGTTTTCCCAGCTGCAGATAATGAAGGGAATCAGGGTCTTTTCCTCCCCCGTAACCCACGTTGCTCCCTTATCCTCCCTGCGTGCCCTAGGATGAAGAGGGAGAGGGCCTGGGTCTTCCCCTGAATGCCCAGCCGGACTGTGCCCTTCCCCAGTTTCCTCCACAGCCACTGGAGCCACGCTCCCATTCCCTATCAGCTGTTCCACCTCTCGCTCGGAATCAGATTCTAACAGAGGCATGACATATAGTGACTTTCATAGTCACAAAGGGGATGAAAAGATAATTTTGTGATTAACTCATGCGTTTATGAGCTTTGCAAATATAAAACAAAGGAAAAAGTGAAGTGAGATGATAAGAACAATCAAGGTTACACTTAGCAACCATTTTGTTTAATGATCCAAGTTGCCAATCACAATTGTGGTTATTCAATAGACTACCAGTTTTCCTGTCCATCTGCAGAAATCTCCCTCTTATGTATAGAATTTGCTATTTCTGGCTGCTTAAAGGTTCTCTAATTACTGTGACATTCTTTCGGCTGTTTTGCATGGGAATAGTCCACTGGGGAGGATTTTGCTTTGCGGGATTGTATTCTTAATCTTCCCTCTAAGTGTTTTATGTTAACATAGATAATCCATTGTGCATCCCTAACAGATAAAGCTCTTCTCCAGAAAAGAGAAAAGCCTCCTGAAAAAGTTTTAATTTGTATTTATATGAAGAAATCATTCTCTGTGTTTTAATCCTAGCCGTAATTCTGTCGTGATCTTTATAGAGTCAATAAATATCTTCCTTTTTTCTTCTGTATTTTTTGTTGGTGATAGTACAGTAGTATCAGGGGTGGGATTCTACCGGTTCTGTCCAGCTCTGTAGATCCAGTAGCTCTGAAGAGCAGCAGACATAGAACCAGTTCTATGCCTGCTGCTGTTTTGGCCCACCCGCCCGCCCGAGCTCTTACCTGACCTTTATTTCCTGCTTTTTCAACCTCAGCTGCTTTGCGCAGCACTGCTTTTTCAAACGCCGCACACCTGCACGCAGCATTGCTCAGCTGGCCGGGCAGCATAGCTGACGACATTCCACATGCATGCGCAAATCGCAAAATCACCGAACTAGTAGTTACACCAGTCAGATCCCACCCCTGAGTAGTATGATTATCACAACTGTCTAAATGTTCATTCTGGAATGTTCTGCAAGTCTTAAAACATTTAGAGAACAGAGATAATAATCAATATTAGAATGTGTAAAGAAAAGAAAAAGAAAATACCTTCTTTGAAATACACAGTTCTGAAAAACAAACAGTATAGTATTCCACAAAACAGTTATCATCAAAAATAGCTTAATATGTATTTTTCATTTTTGATTAAATCTCATTTACTTTAAAAAAAAAACCTTGATGGTAGCACATCTTGATGGTAGATCTTTGATTCTAAATTCATCCTGTGCCTCCAAGGAGTTTCAAATCATTTATTTCTGTCTGTATTTATTCATTCATTTTCTGCAGTTGTGACATGCACCTTGGAAGGTAATCATTCAGTAGATGCCAGTGAGTGTTTGAAGTGGGCAGGACCGATGCCTTCCCTTGTCCAGGATTGCTCAGTGCCTTGCAAAGATGACTGCATATTTACTCCTTGGTCTAAATTTACAGCATGCACTTCCGATTGTGAATCAACACGGACCAGAAGAAGAACTCTCACAGGTAGTATAAATCAATGAATCAATCATCCTTAGTCCTTCTGTTTCCAAACATTCATGGAGTTGACTTTGGAGGTTTGCCAAGGCCAATTAAGTGTATTCTTGTTTTGTTAAAAGTCTCGTAATGATTTCCTCAGTGTTGACTTACTAACAATTTGCTCTGTTATTCTATTAAGTCTGTCAGGAGGGCTTCCTCCTCCTAAGGTGTCAGGATCCTAATTTCATCAGCGAGTCCCTTAAGCTATTTGAATGCTGAAATTATTTCAACTAATCATAGCAATAGCACTTTAGACTTATATACCATCCCACAGTGCTCTACAGCACTTTCTGGGCAATTTACAGTGTCAGCATATTGCCCACAAGTCTGGGCCCTCATTTTACCAACCTCAGAAGGGTGGAAGGCTGAGTCAACCTAGAACCCCATCAGTATCAAACCCCCAGGTGGTGGGCAGAGTTAACCTGCAATCCTTCATTCTAACTACTGCATCATTAGGGCCCTAATAGCCAACTGAGGCAGAAATTTCTATTTCCTTATAGAATTTTAGTTTGTTTTTTTTCAATGAGTTTTTCTGTATAATCTCTCAAGGGACTGCCCTTTCCAACTGCACAAGTGTAGAAAAAGTATGAATAATATTCCTACGTTGGTTAATGCAGTTCCTTAAAGTTCATAAGGAATCAAACAAAAATGTGAATGCATGAATTGTTTAAGTACTATACACAGTTAACATGGGCATCTTACTTTAAAAGTTTTAGCGTGTGTAGGTTGTAAAAAAAAAAAATCTGCGAATCACACTTGTATAATTATTTGAAGCTCTCCCAGTGTGTTTATTTTATGAATTGGGTTTGTATGCTTATATTTCAGGATTCACATAGTCTGCTGCAGTAGATTCAGTGGGTAGCACACGTATATACCAGAGTAGAATATTCCATTCTCCAAACTCTGAAAATATCCCTTATGTTTGATTTCACAAATGCAGGATTTTAGGATATTGAATTTAGTAGCTGGAAACTTCAAGCGTACAATAGGCCTGGAGTTGATTGGTTAGAAGTTGCTGACTCATGCATGAGGCAATCTACACTATGCTTGGTTGCTGGAAGTATAAAGCGGGGGAGTTGCCCCTTTTCCCGCCTTTATCTTCTGTGTGTTCTGTATACTGATTAATTTACCTCATGGTAATCCTGTGTTCCTGGTTATTTTATATTCTTTCCTTCTGGGTGATGATAAAGACTTCTCTGTGTGTGTGTATGACTACAAGTTTGTGTTAGTGTCTCCAACTTCATCTGGACAGCTGCTATGTAATTCCTTGACACAGACATGTGTTTTAATGCATAAATTATTGCAAACTGTATATGTAATTGATTGTGAACTGTTGGCCTTGCTCAGCTGATTGCACATCCGCACACTTTTATAGTAGTATATGGTTCTGTATTAATCTACAAATACTACCAAGATTTACGGCTTTTCTGCAATGTGAGTCACTGTGTGTATCTTCCACAGCTGAAAATCACTCCTCTTGAAGTCACAGCTAGTCACAAGCTAGTGATTTTGGTTTCTAAGCATCGTGGAAGTGTCACTTAGCAACCGTCCTTGTTTTTAGTAAAGAAATCTGCCTTCTCTCCCTGAATCCTCACTCTGCTGGGAAGCAAGATGAATTAGTAGCAGTCACAGGTCTAACATATAACTGTCTTAGAGAAGAGCCTAAAGTCCTTTAGGAAAGATCCACTGGATAGCATCTCACAAAAAAGTTTTTCATTGGGTAAGGATGTTGCTACAATGAACTTTTAATGATGACAGCTGCTGTAGCTGCATCTTGTACTCAATACTATTATATTAGAAGATGAAGTGGGGTTGATTAGGAACAGAAAATGCTCATTTGAAGCAGAAAATCGCTAGTTCAAATCCCATCTCGATCGTGATCATACTGAGTAGGTGACAGGTGAACATTTTCTCAGCTTTAATCTCAATAATGGGTATAATGATAATAGAACAACAATATTGTTATCCCTTGAAGGCATATTATGAAAAACTACATATGGTTTGTAAAATGTTCTGAAAGTATTAAAGTATTATATAAATGTTTATCATAATTATAATAACATCCTTGCCTTAATCAGTCAGACATCTGTTGTTTAACTTGTCACTCCATCTAAGGGAATTTCTTCCAGCAAAAAACCACAATCCATCATCTTACTGTTTATCAGTGACACGAAATTGAGCATTGCTGACTAGGGAGGGATGATTTCTGTCAATTTTGCTTTTGCTAAATATCTAACCTTTCCATCCACAAATTATATTTGGTTTAGCTGTTTAGCATTTAGGAATTAGGAAAAGTCTCTATTTGTGCATCTGTATCTGCTCTTTCTTGCATATCTTAAAGCTACACATGCTCTTTGTGGATGTGCTATTATAGGATTGAAAGGACAGCAGCGTAAAATGACTGTGCATGTATAATTGGGGTAGCCACATAAGTCACATACAAGCCTGGGAAAGGATGTAGTTGCTTTAATTATTTTTAAAAGGATGCTTCATGCACTCTTTCAAAGGATTTGCATAGCTCCAGTGCTTTGTGCACAATATTTTAAAGCATTGTTCTACAAGAAAATTGCATTTTTCTATAAAAGCTACATTTTTCTGCGTATGTCCCCTAAAGTATATATCTCTATGGTTCTTCTGTGCTCTAGAGAGTGTAGTCTTGAATTATGACAACACTTTTTCAAATCCCTAGCTATTGTTTGTTGAAGATGGGTACAACATTTGGCATTTTCACTAAAGTTAAAATTCCTTGCAACTTAACGATTTCTGGTACAGGTAGTCCTCGACTTAAAACAGTTCATTTAATGACCATTCAAAGTTACAACAGCACTGAAAAAAGTGGCTTATGACTGCTTTTCACACTTAGAATCGTTGCGGCATCCCCTTGGTCACATGATGAAAATTCCAGGGGTTGGCAATTGGTTCGTATTTATGATGGGTGCTGTATCCTGAGGTCATGTGATCAGAGTTTGCAACCTTGTGACAAGCAAAGTCAATGGGGAATCCAGATTCACTTAACAACTATGTTATTAACTTTAAAAATGCAATGATTCATTTAACAACTATGGCAAGAAAAGTCATAACATGGGACAAATTCACTTAAATGTTTCACTTAGCAACATAAATTTTGGGCTCAAGTCATAACTCGGGGACTACCTGTAGTTGTTATATGAACTGGATAAAGACCATTCTAAGGAAATTTTTGACACAAAATGTTACACTTCTTTAAAAACTGAACACACTGATGTCTACATAGTTTGAAATTATGGTGTCGCCTCTTGCCCAGAATCATGGAGATTAAATTCTAATTCTTATCATCACAAAGAGTTGTAAATTATAGGTATGTTTGGAAGCACTATTCAACACCAATAATCTATGTCTATATATAAAAGCGAAAAAGCACTCATGCATCATCACAAAATCTCCAGAAGCGTAAAGCCTACAAACTTGAAATTTGGCACGTATGTTCCTCTTGGCTTCTTGGTGCTCGCTAACTAAGGATTTTTCAAAATGACCAGAGCATTAGTATTTCTATTTTTATTATTAACATGCTCTGATGCTAAGGAGTACTACTCCCCCTCTCCACCTGAAAAGAAATCTCTTCCAACGGCAGTTCAGCTAAGCTACACCCAGGCTTCTTGCTGTCTCCTTCTTGCTCACACAGCAAATACTGTTTCAGTTTCCAAACAGCCCTGAACTCTTTCACACACTGACAGGATGCCAGCCAGATGAATACCGATGGATGCTGGTAGGCAGAGGCACAATTTTTTCCCCTTATTTTCCTCCCCCAAAACTTACCCGGTCACATAGTTTCGTAGCGAAGCATTGGTATCCTGGTAGTCCTTAATAAAGGAGCTGTCGAGTCATTAAAGTTTCCATGGAATAAAGGGATTGCAGGCTATAGTGGGCATTAGAAAACATCTTGGAAGAGGGCAGTGGTAACTAGTTCCAAAATTGACATCAAAATCTTTATTCTAGTTTCTCTCTTGGGGATAAGAAATTGATGAGCAGAATGGAAGAACTAAAATGAGGAAGAGAATTTTCCTGAAGCGAGTCGGTTAAAAGGCCTTCCTCCCCTCCCCTTCATCTCAACCAGATCATTCAAGATTTAATATTACTTAAGGAAGTCGCCTAATACCTCTAGCTCACTCTCAGTTCACTTGTTTTTTCTCCAGCCTCTTCTCTTTTGAATATACGTTCTCATAATTAGGCAAACCAGACACATTTCTTACTTGCTCTACAGCTATTTAAGTGACTACTTAATAATGAACTCCTTCCCAATGGCATGGATTAACATTGATTCTAGTTTTGGCTTCAGTAGCAAAAGTGTCTTCAGTTTTATGTATGTTTCTTTCTAACATTCTGTAACAAAAACTAAGAGTTGGGAATCTGCCAATTCTACATAGTTGTTCAACTAGAATAGGAGTTTAATCTAAGTGTCCCAAATCCTAATTTAATTTGCTTCCTCTTGCATAGTCTGGGACACAAACACACAGGGGAACTGGAAAAAAAATCCTCTGCACTGTCTTTAAAAATTGGCTTAATATTATCTATAGTATTTACCTTATCTACCTAATTTTATATCTTCTTTCAGGTATGTAACACAACTTTAATCATATCACTGTTCTCACAGGAACAAATTACAACTTATTATTTTTTTAAAAATGAACACTTGAAAATTCCTACTGGACTTTCTTAACAAGGATTACAAATGTAATGAAGTTACATCATAAAGAGAATCAACATGAATAATAGCAATAGTACATTTAGTGCAAGAGTAATTCTTACTTAATGACCCATGCTTTTGAATAAAACATTACACAGAACTTGCAAGGATGTTAATAAAAAATGAATACCTTACCTGCAATGATGCAGCAAGATATTAAAGAATAGTGTGTTATGGTTGGTTGCAAAGTCATCCAGATGTTTAGACTGGATTTGGCATTTTTATCCACCTAACTAGTCATTCC